GCGGCCTGTTCATCCTCTCTGTCTCCCCAGGTGTGCGTTGACCCCAGCACGAAGGACGAGCTGCACGTGGTGGAGGTGGAGGGGCAGGACTCCGAGGGCCAGACGGTGCGGACAGTGCTGGCCTCCCTGCGGCCGTCCAGCCTGCCCAGCGTGAGTGTCCAGGGAACGGCCCTGTGGGCCTGGCTGAGGGAGGGTGACCCTGGGGCAGGTGGGCAGTATGTAGCCTGCCGACGCTTGGCCAAGGGGCGTAGGGCCTGATGCATATCCCCTGGGTGGTGAGACCCGCCTGTCCACTAGGGCTCCTGCTGTGGTCCGTCCCGGCTGACCGGTCTTGTCTGACTCACAGGTGTGCCTGGGCGGGTTCGAGATCACACCTCCAGTGCTTTTCCGGCTGAAGGCGGGTTCTGGTCCGGTTCACATCAGCGGACAGCATCTGATGGGTGAGTCCAACTCTCCGGCGTGGGGGGGAGGGGGCACAGTGTTTTGGTGCGTGTGGGTTCCCACAATGCATCTGGCTACACAATAGCCAGTGTTAGGATCTCAGAAAATGAATAAATAGTCTGGACAGCAGAGCTAGAAGTTGGTCTTGACTGTACAATATGGTATTTTTACTTTGTCAACACTGTGCTCTGATCACTGCCCAACCTAATTTCTACCAACAATCTAGTTTTTGCTAGATTTCAATGATGATTCCATTGAAAGGGTAAGCAAGCGCTGTAGAAGCAGCGCACCAAACTCTGAAAGACATGGATCAAGTTCAAGAAGTTTAATGTACACAAATTTAGGGTTCTGCATGCAGGTAGTAAGAATATAAATATGGGAAACTATGCACTAGAAATACACTGCAGTTGTAGATGTTTTAAAATATAAAATTTAAAATATTCCATGGTGCCTTATTGTAGGATTAAAGTGCTTCTTTCTTTGTTAGCACTGTTGTGGTTTCTAAACAAGTATTGTAAGGCTTTTAAAAGTGGGTGGGCACAGAGGTTTGGGGTTTAATTAGCTGATGTTCTGGGTCCTGTGGTGTTGACCCCTGTCCACTCCTGCAGTGTCGGAAGACATGTGCTTTGGGGAGGAGGAGGATGAGGAAGAGGAAGAAGAGTCCAGGAAGTCTGTCAAGAGGCCTGCTGGAGCGGTGAAGTCCAAACCGCAGCAGGTCAGTGCAGACCCCCTGTCCTTCATCCCAGTTCGCACCCTGCTTTATAATTCCTCACTTTTTCACCTAAACCCCCCACTGTATCCATAGAAAAAGATGAAGCTGGAGGAGGAAGAGGACGATGAGGATGATGATGATGACGAAGATGAGGAGGAGGATGACGATGAGTAAGTCTTGTGTCTGCCCCCTGGCCTGTCTTCCTCCCTGTTGCTGTTGATACGCACCCTGGTGTCTAACCCTCTCGCCTGGCTTCTCCAACAGGGACGATGAGGACGAGGATGACGAAGAGGAGAGTGAGGAGGAAGAAGAAACTCCAGTGAAGGTAAGACCGACCTCTTGCCTGCTGATGCATGTGCTCACTGAGCCTGATCCGCCTGTGTCCGGTTTCTCTGGCCTGCCCCTGTCTCGCTGACCTCCTGCCTGCTGATGCATCTCCCCCCATCTCTCTCTGTCTCTCCTTCAGCCCCAGAAGAAAACACCAGCCAAGACCCCCAGTCAGAATGGGAAGATGCAGACCCCAGCCACTCCTGCCGCGAAACAGAACCAGGTACTGACCGGGTTCCCCAGTGGACCCGTGGCCCGGAAAGCCCCGAGCCGGAGGTGTCGGGTGTAGGCGCCGAGTGTGGCCCGTTTCGCACGGGGCCCACTTGTCTGGGCGCCTGGAGACTCTTCTGTTCTCGCGAGTCGCCCATTTCAACGGTCCATGAAGCTTTGGGGCCCTCCACTCCTGCCTCAGCTGAACCCGTGATCCGTGGGGTGACCCGTGACACCGGCTGGACAGTGGGGAGCCCCCCCGCCTTGGGTGCCCTCAGCAGACGGGAGTTCTCCAGTGTCCAGTTCTCCTCGGACACGTCTTCCCGTTGCGATGCCGTTTTATTTTATTTCTCCTCCCCGCGGAGTCGTTTAACCCCAGGGGCAGCTGTTTGCATCGGCAGGCCGCGGGGGAACAGTGCCGATGTGTCGCTGCCGACTGAAACAGAAGGACAATAAAGCCGAGTGCGAAGAGCTGTGCTGGTCTGCGAGTGATTGACTCCCCGTGTGCCCCCTGTCCCCGAGCGCGCGGCTGCGGGTTTGAGCTGAGGGCGGTCCACCGGCTGTCGTAGTTTGCTGGGATTGGCCATTGGGTTGTGGGGTGGAGAGTTTAGACTGGTGGGGGGGATCAGTGCTGCTCCTGCAGGGGCCCCCTGAGATCTTCCTCGTGCGACAACTGTGCACGCCTTCCTCGCGCACTTCCCGGTCTCCTGTAGTGATCTGGGTCCGTCGGTTAGCCGGCTGTGATGCTCGGGTGGTGAACTGGAGTTTGTGTGTTCTTATCGCAGGCCTGAGACATGCTGGCAGGTTCATGAGCAGTTTTGGCCCCGGGTGAGGGTGTGTTTGAGCCCGTCTGTACCCTGGTGTGTCTGTTGGGGGGGTGGAGCCTAACCAGCAGGCGTGACTCTGTACTGGGTCAAGTGGTTTTTGAAAGAGGTGTGGTGTGAAAGGGGAGCTCTTTCCAGTGGGTTTTAGTGGCTGGGTTGGAGCTGCCAGCTAGAGGCAGGAGGGGTGCGCACACACACACACACAATGCTCTTCTGAGAACCTCGTTCACCCAGGGGTCCCCCAGCCAGGACCATGAGCCCCTGCTTTGGGGGGAGAGGTGGGGTAACCTGTGGGACATCTGAACCTTCCCATTGGGGGAGAGGAGTCCTTGGGTGCGGCAGTCTAAGGAATCTGGTTCAGTTAGCGTTCCGGCCCGGTTCGGAGCAGTGGGGGTAGGAAAAGTTGGAGTTGGTTCAGTCTGATCCCTGATGGGGTTCTGACCCAGAAGCGTTCTGTTCCTCTTTTCCTTCCCCTGTGGGCTAGCAGCCCAGTTGTGTGGCTAGTATTGGGGATGCTGACCACACTCTCCCCCATCTCCAGCAGACTCCCAAGACCCCGAAGACCCCCAACACCAAGGGCCAAGGAGACAGGAAGCCCCAGACGCCCCGTGCCCCCCTCAGCCTGGCCGAGATCAAGGCCAAGATGATGGTTGGCGTGGAGAAGGTCAGTGTGGGTGCCGTGGTGGCCCTGTGTCCAGTTCCCTGACCGCGCTGGCCCCCCTGGTCCTCAGCCATCCTGTCCGTTTCTCTCTCTCCCCGCAGGGAGTCATGCTGCCCAAAGTGGAAGCCAAGTTTGAGAACTTTGTGAAGAACGGTTTCAAGGTGGACGATAAAAATGTGAGCATTTAATTTTTTGTCCCGCCATCTCCCCCTTGTGGCCGCCACCATGTCTTTGTGCTGTCTCCCCCTTGTGGCCGGTGTGTGACTCATTCCTCTCTCTCTCTCTCCCCCTCCTACAGACAATTCAGGAGCTCTGGAAGTGGAGACAGACTGTGAAAGACAAGAAATGATTGGATTTTTTTTTTATTATTTTTAAGTTTTTATTTTTTTGCTCCTTTTGTCCGTCTGTCCTCTGTCCACATGGGGCGGGTTTGCCCTTTCCCGAGGGGAAGCTCCCCTTTCCTGCCGACCAGTGCCGTCCGGTTTTGTGAGGGGTCAGGGGTCCAGCACGTCCAGTGGACCAGCTGTCCCTCTTCAGTGTTTTTACTGCCGAAATAAAATGTCAGCTGTCTCCCTGTTTGTCTTTTGGGTCAGTAGGTCTGTTTATGACAGTCTCTCTCACACCCTGGGACCTCAATCTGGGGTGACTGCACACCCCTCAGGTACTGGGGTTCACTTTCACAGGGGTCATCCTGGGGACTGTGGAGTACGGCTCCTGACACCCCACATCACACAAACCTCAATTCTCTACCCTGGGTGCTGTATAGGTGAACCGTGGCAGACAGTGGGATCCCCAATGTAGAGAAGTGAGGTGCTATGCAGTTTATAAGGCTGCTGAAGGATTTCTAATGGAAGCTGCTGTACTGTGCTTGTAGGAGAGCAAGGCATTGTGGTCTTTGTAGTTGAGCAGCCAGTGAGACTGCAGGTTGTGGCATGATAGTCCACTAGGGGGCACTGTTGTGAAGCTGAAGCAGTTTGTGTTCACATGTATTACTATGGTCTTGCTATGGTCAATCGTGCAGTGTTCTGTGGTAAAACAGCGTCTGCAGTGAGGATGGTAATTCGGTAAAATAGTTTTAGAAAAAACTGATGCAAGTGCTGACACGCAAATACTTTATAAGCTGTGACTGTCTCTTCTGCTTAAATACCAAATGTGTCTTTAGAAGAAGAGGCTCTCTGGCTGTAGTCTTACTCAAGGTGCTGGGATTCCGCTGCCCAATTTTGTAACTACTCTGTTCTGAGGGATTCGAAGTGACGACACTCCACTCTTACCCGGCCCTGTCCTCTGTTGGGGATCAGAGAGGAGGAGTGATGGCTCTCCGGTCTCCTCTCGCCTCCACGTTCCCACCCGGCCCTGTGCTCCGTTGGGGAAGCAGGGATTCAGAGTGCCAGCTCTCCGCTCTCACCCAGTCCTCTGTCACAAGCAGGAAGAGGAATCGGATCTGCCCTCTGTCCCTGGACAAACAACCTGATCCAAATAACCTCCTCTCGTCCGTCGGCTTTCACTTGTAGTGGTTGCAGTGTTTGTGAAGGCTCTGTGTTGTGTCTGGTTTGGGGAGGCTCTATGGTGGGACTGAGCCTAGCAACACACACACACACACATATACACACACAGCAGCTGAGTGTGTCGGCAGCCCTGGGGGTGATGGGCCTGCAGAGAGGAGGGGGAGGGGAAGGCTCTTAGCCGCTCCCTGTGGACTTGATCCCAGCTCTTACACTCCGGACTAAAGTGGTTTTCCTGCTGCGCGCTGCAGAACAGGGCTTTACTGCTGGAACGTGACTGAGAGTGTGTGTGAGTGTGGCTGTGTGAGGGGGAGAGATAGAAGAGAGAGGCAGAGTGATGGGGAGGGATCGAGGAGAGAGATGGAGTGGTGGGGAGAGAGAGAGGCAGAGAAGGAGGGACTCAGCTCAGCCCAGTCCTGTGCAATGCTGGCTGGGAGTTATGTTTGTCATTAGGGCTGACTGGGCTCTCTGTGTCTGTCTCTGTCCCCCAGAAGAAAATGGAAAGATCATATCCTGACAGACAGAATCAACACAGGCTTAGTCAGGGACAGCATTTCTGAGTCTCCTATGTGATCTACAGAAATGTCCAATGGCATGTTTGCACTGGAAATTTAAGTAAAAGCTGTGTGTATTTCATTTGCTTTCACAACAACGTAATTTATTGGTCATGCCAATAAAACGTTTTGACTGTCAGTATTTTCTGTGTCCATGTGTATGTAGGCAAGTCTGTGTGTGTAAGAGTGTGGTTGTGTATGTAAAGGCTGAAGCTCTGCTCCAGGTACAGGTGAGTCTGAGGTCGGTGCTGTACTGCAGGTACAGGTGAGTCTGAGATCAGTGATCTACTGCAGGTACAGGTGAGTCTGAGGTTGGTGCTGTGCTGCAGGTACAGGTGAGTCTGAGATCGGTGCTGTGCTGCAGGTACAGGTGAGTCTG